CCGCCACTAAAAAGTGTTCACATTAGCAGGCAATGATGTGGGCACCCAAAAGAGGACCCTAGCTCTTTTGAAGAATCAAGATTGGAACATCATATGACTGTGGATTTAGGTGATTAAAAAGTAGAAGTGAACTGAAATGACATTTTGAGATCGGAACTGAAAAGAAAGAAAATGTCAGGCCGAAACTGGAAAAAAATGGTTTAACCTTTTTAATTTTTTGTTTTGTCCCCATACTAAATAGGCATAGGTTCTAGCACAGTGAAAAACAAAGTCTTCAGATACTGTGTTTCTGTGATGCTTCAGAAAAAAAAAAGAAGAAGTGTAGGCTAGTCATGTGGTGTTGGTTGGATCTGGAAAATATATGCTTCAATTAAACATTTTACAGGATGTATTCTATCGGATTTGTCTCCCAGAGAGGAGGAACTCACATCAGCTTTGGCCAATATGTTCGGTCTACAGCCTGACAATTCTATGAAATGGCCCAGGCACGGTAATGTTTAAAAGGTCCCACTTGCCCTAGAAAACTTTGACAGTTTCTCAGCACATATTTTTACGACTTTAAAGTAAAAGCAATTTTTATAACCTGTACAAACCCATGTGTTATTTATGACATGTTATGAGGTCTACAAGTGACACTGTCTTGTTAAAGCTCATTTACAAAAGAGCATATCCTTCTACAAAAAAAACGGACGTTCATATTTGATCCTTGAATACAGATTTTACAATGGAAATTGGCAGAAAATGTGCCAGGCCATATTTTTAGTTACTTGTTTCAGCCCTCTGGAATAAATAGAAAGAGGTCATACCATTCCATCCAGGATAACGAAACCAGCCAGAGCGTTTCACTTTCCAATTCAGTTTACACTAAGAGAAGCTAAGTGAGGGTTTTAATCGGTAATTCTGTTTGAAATGTTGGTTTATGGTAGTAACAAACCTCCAGTCTGTCAGGGGGAAAGTGGTCACTATCTGCCTTGACAAGAAGCAGAAACGTAGAACCCACTGTAGTTTTTTCAGGTCAGCCATATAATTGATGTGTGGGGGGGAGGAGATTGAAGGCAGAGGGGTCAAAGGCTCCTTCTGCTGTCAATCAACCTATTGGGTGGAGAGGAGGAGAGTGGCCGGCCGGCTGTATTTATGTCTATAGACGCACACAGCCACGACTGGGAACAAGCACGCACGGGTGCCTCCATAGCAGCAGCTAGCTGCAAGGGCGGAGGGAAATCGCTGCGGGGAGCACTAGAGAACGAGGATTTGAAAGATTAACAAAAAAAAAAAACAGAAGATCTGAATACCACAGGGGTGCTGCCATGTCTTCAAATAATAATAATTTAAAAAAAAAAAAGGTTTAATGTCACTTTAATGATCAACAAAATTGTATCTTATTTGTGAATCACTTGGATGTGTATCCTCAAATCATCTCTGAATTCATGCTGACACTGTGCTTCCTTCTGGAGGGTGGCTACTTCTGTTCCCCATGGTCCCTGTATGTTTTGTAAAGTAGCCACCCTCCAGAAGGTTGGCCAGTGTCAGCACCAATTCAGAGATGATTTGAGGATACACAAATAAGCTGCAAGTTCTCTTTAGGGTCATAGGAGGACATATACTAACGTCGTCCTGTGACCCAAAGCTTAGTATATAGCGAGCTATTGCCTGCTATATGCTGAGAGCGCCGCAGCCTGGGACGGAACCCGACAGTACTGCCGAGATCCACCCCGCTTGCTGATTGACAGTGGGCTCTGCCTAGCCAGAGACAGAGCCAGCTATGCACCGCCCCCTCCCCGTCTGTCCTTCCAGTCAGCGCTAGAGGATCGGAGAGGGGGGAATCCCTGCGGGGAGAAGTGACTGACAGTCACCGCTCTCTGCAGGTAGATGATCGGGAAGTGAGCGAGCAGCAGTATGTTTTCGCTCACTTCCCGATCCATAGAGCCGACGTGTGACGGATTCAATGTCACACTTTGGCACTAATTATGTGAATGTGTGTAATTCACTCACCCCATAGTTCTCCTTTAAGGTACTCGAATGCATGTTTAAGATTTAACTCCTGAGTTTGGTGTCACTCTAAAGCAAATCACCTACCTTGATTTATTTTGCCCAGCTCTTTGACCTCCCTGTGCTCAGTATTCAATTGAAGCCTTTAGCTCAGAAGACCAAGTTCTGTCACATCACCCTTTATGACGCACACAACCCACAGGCCCAAATTTAAAGTGTATCTAACCCCATTAATAAAATGTAATATATTCCAGTTTACCAATCCCTAGATGTGGTGGCTGCATTCCATTTTTCAGACTTATTTATTTCCCTTTATATTTACCAGGTGATCTTACCTGTAACACACTCCTAAGCGTGACAACGCTCATTCCCTTTACTCTATCTACTGAGGAACAGCATTGTTATGCCAAGCTGCTCTGGACTATAGAATAGTCCTCTATAACAGCCCTCTCCCCCTCATCTTAACAGAGAATAGAACTGACCAGGACTGATAACAGCGCTTGGGATTTCAGTGCAACAGAGGCAAAGTGAACAAGAAGTTACAAGCTCACTGGATTTCTGGCAGGATCAATAATTTTTTTGGGCTACACCTATCGAACAGATATAAACAACACGCTGTCAATGATGTAATTAACAGAACAAAAAGAAAATATGGGGGGCGTGGTTTGCGCATGGAACCGAGCAGACGTGCCTAGCTTCAGCTCCGTCTCCCTCCCCGAGCAATCTCGACTAAATACCACTTTTTACGACCGGATCACACTCGACAACCTCTCTCGTCCATCCCGGCAGATCATGGGCAGAACACCACGCCGCAAAGACCCGGCTAAACAATCGAGCAAGGGCACCCTCAAGCGCATGTGGACTCAGACGGCCTCCTCACCTGACCAGGCGGCGGGACGCTCCTCCAGAGGACGCGGCATAGGTGAGACCTTACCACCTTCCAGAATCCCCCCAGCAGATAGATCCCCTTCCCCGGCCTTTTTGTCGGCCTCACAAGACTCCGACCAGGGTTCGGAGATGTCCGTAGCGACACTGGCCAAAACTCTACCGAATAAGTCGGACCTGGCCGAGATGTTCTCCCGCCTCGAGCATTCGTTAAAATCCGAAATTCCGCAGTCCTACGATTCCCTGAAGACCTACCAGGTTTTTGTGAGAAATTGGGTATCACACCTCCAGCTCTCCCTGGTTGGGCCGACCCGACACCTGGATGGGTTCCGCTGCCCGCCTCGCACTGGCAGCAGCCATCACCTAAACCTCGCAGAGCCTCCAGGAGGCGATCGGTAGCACACCCTGCTCAAGCAGATACCCCGTGATTTGCACCGGCTACTTGGCACGCCGACAGGTTATACGGCCAGTGAGGCTTAACACTCATTGTTGTTTTCCTTTTTCTTTTCTTCTCTTTTGTTTTTTCTGCACCTAGAGGATGTCACCATTGCACCTACATGGCTATGGTTATTTGACCCCCATGTCTCCCGCTTCAGCCCCTACATCGCCAATGGCTTTGAACTGCCTTTGGTTATCTGCTGAACACTCCTGGATCGGGTGGGTCAGATAACCCGGAAGTTGCGGACACACAGCCTCAGGGTTATACTCCCTCTCATCGGTTCCTCAGGCTGGTCGCACGTTGCGACTCAGGTTTAGTACCATTGCACGTCCCCTACCATAAGGGGTAAGGGAGTAGCCATAGGATTTGGAAGGGATGTCCCCTTTTCAATCATAAACAGACTGGTAGACCCAGAAGGTCGGTTTTTATTTCTCCAGGTTGAACTATATGGGGTTACATACACTCTGGCGAATGTTTACTGTCCGAACTCCTCTCCTGCACCCTACTTCAGGAAACTACTAGGCAAATTGCGGAATTTCCACACGGGTCATTTGATAGTCTCTGGGGACTTCAACTTCTGTATGGACCCCTCCATAGATACTTCCACCGGAATGGCACGTAATCCCAAATCCCATCTGAATACAGTACGCAGAACACTGCACAGCTTACAACTAGTGGATGTGTGGAGAATGCTCCATCCGAGAGAAAGGGACTACTCCGACTATTCTTCCGTGCATAACTCTTATGCAAGGTTGGATATGCTCTTCCTAGACCATTTTCTCCTTGAAACAGTCCAATCTGCCGACATCCTCCCCATGACCCTGTCAGACCACGCACCAGTTTCTATACAACTGGCTATGGCTAATGCTCCCTCCCGCATATACAATCCGCTTATTGAAGCAGCAGTAGCTGCCAACCTCAGCGCATATTTTCAAACGAACGACAAGGATTCGATATCCCCAGCGATACTATGGGAAGCACACAAATCAGTGATTCGGGGCACTTTGGTGGCCATAGGCTCTAAGAAAAAGACCGTGATAGCCTAATACCCCACTTCCCTTTCCTGTGGCGATGGGACAGCATGCGCTCCCTAGGAATTTACCTCACTCCTAGCATCCCAGATTTGTACACGCTGAAC